ATTGCACACCAAGTGCTCTATCTGTTAGTAACGGACTCCCCTGCAATTCACGGAGACTCGGTGCTCGCTCATCAACTGGGATGCAATCAGTTGCATCGATCGCTGATCGTGGATGACGTCTACTCCTGGAATAGCAGTCAGATAACGTTCTGTCTGACCACCGAACACGACGGTCTAAGCGAATCAGTTACACTGGAGAGGTGCAGTTGGCGTGAAACTGTCTCATTAAGCTGTCCGTGAGCAATGAAACATCTGACTTTCAACGGCATAGCTATCATTGTTGGCCCTGGCCGGAATTGCAATCCAGCTGTCCATCAAGTTCCTGTTTATGCCAATTTTTGCATCGAGCAGACGATCACCTGACCTGTTGCTGCCTAGGTTCACTGTGCCACAGTGACAGTTTCACGTATGTGGCTGTACGCAACGACAGTTGTTTGTCCGTGGAGAGAGACCTTTGGTCTACTTGATGCCAACGGTCAACCGATGTCTGCAAACGAAGGTTGACTAGACCTGTTTGTTCGTACAGGCTTCCGTGATTAGTTTGAATCCCAATCAACCAAACTGGTTCTGGTCTGTCTTCTTGTTCTTGTGATCGCACTAACTGTTAGTCTCATTGCGTTGGTGCACTAGTACTACCCGGCGTTCTATATACGCTCCCGGTCTCACACCACAGATGAACACAACTCCCGAGCTGGCTCTCTCGGCACAGTACGAAATTCCTCCCTTCTCTGTGTTTCTTGCCGTGGTTGATGCCATTTTCTCGGTCATCGGCATGCGAAAACACGTCCACACCGAAGTGCTGGACACCAGCCCCCATATCTGGTCAAAAGTTGTTGTACTTAATGTGCCTGACCGTTTACTGCACGTAATTAAACCTGCAGTCAGCCCGTTGCTCAAGCCGCACTCAAGTTGCCTGATTGTCAAGACTGGTTCTCGCGAAATGGAACGAGAGAGAACCAGCCTACTCATTTGGTTGTGTCCAAAAGATCATTTGAACGTTGGCCACAAGAATCCCATGAATCTGAAACAGAGTCTGGTCTGCTTCGCTTAGGACTTGTCCGGACGAATTCACCGTTTCCGACAGATACCCGTTGCATGCACAATCGAATACCCACTTCCGTTTCTCTTGGATCCGATGTAATCGCACGGGACTCAAATCAATTGCAGTATGTGTCGGAAGCTTGCCAAATGTTGCGTCTTCTTGGTCAAGGCCGTTTCCCTCAGGTCTGGTTGGCGAAACTAGAACTCTCGACTGGAACAGATTCCAGTTTGGATATATCACATCGGTTACCCTATTCAGATCCGTTGAGGGATAGTTTATTACTACCTGACGCTTCTCGCCCGAATGACTCAAATGGTTGCTCATCTCCTCCCAACTCTAGAAATACTCAATCCCGTTTGGTTGCCGTGACGTATTTCCGTGCCGCTGAACAACGAGCCTGGGCAAACGAAGCCGTGGTGTTTAGAATTCTTCGGTCCACTATCAGCCGATCCGTATCTGCTTCTGATATTGATACCTGTTACAATTTGGTTCGCCCGTCTGGTGAAGGAAACGTACACAGCGAATGTCGTCTTGTGTTGGAATGAGCTCCACGAGGTAGTTTGCAGGACTTATTAGAGCGAGGGGAATAGTAGCCGTTACAGTTGGTGCTAAATTTGGCACGTAACATGGTTTGCGGTCTGTGCTACTTGCATGCCGATTATCCGACAGTAGATCGACTTTCGATTGCACATCGGGATGTGAAACCGAAGAATGTACTGATTCGGTCAGTTGGATCGGCTTGTCTATCAGACTCCGGCCAGTCTGTGGTTCTCCATACCCGTTTAAGTGACGAAGTGGTGCGATCCGATCGAACCGGTTCGGCCGCTGCCACCACAACGACCACTACCGCGACCATCATGTTATCCAACAATCTGGTCAGTTGTGGAACAAACTTTGACGCAGTCCCTAACGCGGGAACGTTACGGTATATGGCCCCGAAAATTTTGGACGGAGCGATTCAGTTCACCGCACGATCGATTCCTTGTACTCGCTTAGTTTATGCCTGTGGGAATTGCTCAGCGCCGCAGTGCCTCCGACATCGGTCGAACTATTGCAAACCGGTACCAACACTACGGATCCAACGGTACACACGAATACACAAAAACAGGTTGTCGAACTGCTTATGCAATCTAATGGTGTTGCCTCCTTGTGTAAACCACGTCGTGTTTGGCTACTCTATGAATTAGAATTGGGTCGAATTGATCTCAATCCGGAGGCGATGCGTCATTTAGTAGCCATACAAAAGCACCGTCCGTATGCACATACATCGTGGTTCGGTCCTCGTTGTACGCTCAATTCTATCGGACCATTACAGAATCTTGGGATTCCGAGCCGGAAGCACGACTAAGTGCCACGTGTGTGTTGGAGCGTCTAAACTCCATCCATACGCTACTGTTCAAATCCACCGAACCGTCAGTCGAATCAAGCCGTCGTATGTGTTGATATCTCTTCCATTTTCGTCTACGCCAGTGTATGCACACACACCCACGATTGCATCTCATTCTCGCACTCCATGACTGTGCGATGTTTGTCTTTTTGATTTTCGGAGGTTTATATTTATCTAATGTACAAAGCCAATCAAACAACCTCCAACGTCTATGCTCGCTCACTTATTTCTTTAGCTTGACAATCAACCATACCCGAGCACCGTTCAGCCTACCTCGAATGTTCCATGTGTGTATGTGTGAAGGCCCGCTAATTTTTAGCTTTACGGTCAACTACTCCCATTTATTGATGACACATCTGAGCATCGTATTTCGGTGACGGTTACGACTTCCCCTATTCAGGAACTGTACTACCACCGTATATATGCCGTCCGAGATACAAACACGTTCATTTCTTCCCGTTCACACACAATTTTTTGTACAAGACATCATCAATATAAACCAACCCGCTCATTCGTTGCCTTCATTTTATTCTCTTTTTCTGCGTTCTCTGCGTTTATTATTTTTGCCGGATTTCATTCTTACAAGGATGGATCACAAAAACTCCTTGACGGTAGTAATCTGTTTTCATTGCATTTCATAGAAGCAATCCAGTTGCTCATTGGCCACTTAGTTACCTAGCAAATTTTTTCCTTATCACTATTCTGCTATTTCCGCGTCACAAATGTCCCGTTCCCTGACTGTTGGACATCCACTTGGTCACCTTGAACCCTCACATGAGCGATTGCTTGGATAAATCCGTAATGTGTCAAACTGCTTCCTCAATGCCATCAAAGGATCCCAGGAAGTCGTCCACTTAAAAATTATGTTCAACACAGAAGCCCACCACCACAACCGTAGAGGTGACTTTAACCGGACAAAATCTGCTCATCACCTCAATCAGCGGAGTTGTCGAGACTGGGCCTTGTTGTAGACGGTCATTTAGGGCAATCCCGGCACAC